TATTTTTGCAATTACAGAAGATTGAAGACAGTCAAGTCCGAATCAGACGTCTATCAAAGTGAACACCAGCATTACTCCACACCAAATAGAGGAACGGATGTTACTACTGTTCTTTATGATTTGTTAAACGCTAATGAAGATCAACGAGCAAGTACTGCAGCCAATGTACAGATACAACGTACCAACACCGGGCCACATTTGACGCAGGCTAATGGCGAGGGTGAAACTGAACAGAACAACCAAGATTATGAACATCAATATGATTCAACTACTGGACGTGGACCAGTAGCTGTTTATGATTCATTAAATACAAGAGACGAGACTGGTTATTATAATATGGGTAATATCAACACAGCTGGTACATAATATGATGCCTAAAACAGACATTATATTAGTGGTATACTTAAACATGTAAATTATATATCTAAGACGCGCCTCCTTAAACTTAAAATAGCAATAAACTGAATACAGTTTCATTTTTTAAAAACAACTTTCATACTTGCTAATCACTTTTAATGTATAAATATACTGGTTTTAAGAGATGATAGCTGTAGTAGAAAAGTTTGTATATAGAAGCTTTGATCTCACTTAATGGAGCTAAATCGGTAATATTTGGGAACTAGAAATTGACACAAATGGGTCGAAACGCTATAATAATGTAATATGAATGTATATAAACTAATTTACATTAAATTGTTTCAGTTTTTACTGTAATTTCTAATCTGTTATGTTCGGAGAAATACACCAGAAGTCTCAATAGAATGGCAATCTCTTGCGTCTGGATATATATACCAGTCTACACCGATAGTATTCATTGCGCGTGCTCTTCAGATAAGAATATGACGTCACCATTTAACATGACTTGTGGAATATGTCTAGCCTCGTTCTTGGAGTCTCGAGTACGCATATTGGTACACGACCAATGTAAAACGTTTATGTTGTCTTAAATATCAAAACCCCATCTTTTCCAGGTAAGATCATAATATCAATGTTGATTTAAATTGACAAATAATTCATGTTTTCAATGACAAAGACTTTGGTATATTAAGTTAGAGACTTAGCTACTTTAAATAGGCAAATTATATATCTAAGACACGCTCCATTAAACTTGAAATAGAAATAAAATGCACGTAGTTTTATTTTAAAACAACTGTAGTCAATGTAGCTTGGGGATAGTAGCGATAACAACAGTGTCGATACCTGCGGGGTTTCATGGTTAAAAACATGTTATATCAATCAATCACATTTGTATTCTACTATCCATAACAGCTTAGATTTACACAGGCGTATATTTTAATAATATTACAAAGGTTATAATAAAATAGTGTATGTTGTCATTGCATTGGATTCTGCATTTTCGTGCATGTCATAAACAAGATACCCCCATTATGTACGAATATAAATCCCGTTTGGATATCGTACAGTTACACATGTACAGTCAACCATAGGCGTCCGGGCTTTATGATTGTTAGGGGGGGGGGCAGAACCCAGAATACCGTTAAAAAAAATTCGGGCTTCAGACGGCGTGTCGGTCGTCTGCGAGAGGCGAAGGGGCGAAGCTATAACATAATGACTTATGTCATAGAGGCGTCCTGCCATATTAAAATACGTATTAGTGATTGTAACATAAACCTGTCGCTATCAATACCCGGCTGGAGATCTTGGTAGTATTCCTTATGTCTTTGCGTAACTATAACTTGTTGTTGGCATGTCTTATCTAACTTTCTTTGTCTGATAAACTATATTGAATGTTAAACCTTCATATGATGCTTGATACATTAGACAGGTGTCTAATGAGCTCCTTTGTCTCGAATACGTTTATAAACTCAGAACAGAAACGAATCTTCAGGCGGGTCCAGGAGGCCATGCTAGGCGGGTGCCTAGATCAAGGTACCTAATGGATACGAGAGAGGTCCAGGCAGGGCTAGGAGTTAGGTCCGGCCAGGACTGAGCTAAGGCCATGGGCGCCTTGGCACGAGACGGTACGAGACGACAGCTTCTGGAGTTAGCACACTCATGCTAAGCCAAGCTAATTAAGTCATGACTCCTTCCATATAGTTAGTTCTACGGTCGTTTACATCACGATGTTTGTACCTAATATTGTAAGAAGCAGAATAAAACTATTATTAGATGTATATACCAGTGTTGTCATCAAAGAACCCGATTTAAGAACCAATATTGTCACAAAGCCTACAGTATCGGCCCAGCCCCCCCCCCCCTTCACCAATGGAAATTTGGAAAACCTGTCAACTGCAAAATCGTTTTCCTGGCGCAAATCGTGATAGTGGGAACCTAGAATTACGACGGTTGTATTAACACCATCTTTTTCTACCGTAACGCCCCACTGGTTTACACGGATAAAATGAATAGTCACACGTGTTAAAATAAAATGCATATTTGAGTAACTTCCTTGTTGAATAATTATGTCAATAAGAAGATGGCGTGTGAAATTGTATACGTATAAAATCAACGAGAAATACATGGTTAGTTTAATTCATTATTTATACATTTGGATCATGACGTGACTTTTAATTTGTTTTATGAAGGGTGTTTCACCATTAGAGATATCAGATAAAGTTATACATAAAATGGTCCCGTGATACACATGCGTAGCGGACTCGAATTCCAATCAATCAATCAATCCTTTACAGTTCACAGAGATGGGACCGTCGGGATAAAAATTTAAACAATGAACTGCCGCAAATGCGTTTCCTGCTATTCTAGCTCGTGACTTAAGTGACTTACCTGAATTCAAAATCTCAAACATGCAATCAATCGTTGCATACGTTCTAACTTGTGTAAAGCTTTGAATGGTGTCTGGTTTCCTCCCACGTCCAGTGGATAACACGCTGCCTAGCTAGTCTGGAGGTCGCGAGTTCGCACACGGTGTTGGTCGAGAAGGTTCATCGGGATTTTCCGGCGTGGTTTCCCCTTGTCAATGGTGCAGGACGGAGGGTCTGACAAGGACAGTTGTCTAGTCGTTCGGATGTTACGAAATACAGAGGTCCCATGTACACATTGGCGTGTACGTAAAAGATCCCTTAGCACTTGAAATTCGATAGAAGACTAGGCCGTACCGCCGCTGTCCGAGCAAACATTCCCTCATAGCACACTGTATAACGTATGTCCGTCTTTATTTGCCCAGTCGGAGAAGAAAAGTATTACGTTAAACCCCATTCCATTTCATTACTGAAATATATCTATTGACTTAACTCAGCATATTTAATATATTTTATATATGACTGTATTCTTTCCTCGTTATAATGATATTACAATACCTGAATACACTACCTGGCCAGGTATATGAGTATATGAATACAGTAAAACATGTGACCTATATATGCATGTTGCACACATACAGGTAGTCTGATATATAGTATACGTCGGGTAAAGTTATCTACGTGGTACAGACTTGAAACATATTTTGATCTGCTGTTCATCAGTATCTTGAGAGTATTCTGTCAGTAAATACGGTGGTGCGCCATCAGGTTTATTATACTAATGACATTATCATAGCTATTTTATATATCTCATATATTGTAATATTATAATGTATGCAAATTCATTACCAGGCCTACGAGTGTCGAGATATGAACTGTATGTCATATACTGCGATCCACCGACTAACTATTTACACTGGTTAAGTGTTAGTTTGATACAATGAATAGTCCACTCATAAACTATCACATGCAATAACTAAGCCCAATGTACAATTTAATACTCTTGATGTGATCAAGTTTTCAAAATTCCCTAGACAACATTGAGACCGTGACCACTGATTAATATATTTAAATCATGTTGCTGTTGTTTTTATGTTTTCAGTAGAGCTGTGTTAGTTTGTTACAAGATGATGACCAGATTGATTCTCTCTGGTTGTATATTCTTACAGTTTATATCATTTAGTAAGTTAACATTTTATTAAATTTATTTCGTATTTGGCGGTGGGAGCAGTAAAGTTTCAATGACCTTTTGGGTACATACATTGAATAATTTATTTCGTATTTGTGGATTGGAGCAGTACGAGTTTTAATGACGTTTTGTACATACCCGTCAAACTGTACATACATTGAATATGTTAAAAATCGAGTTGTGTTGATGTTTTATCTTATCACTTATTGTTTTATGGACACACTTGAGAAGGGCTGTGACAAAGTACTCTTACAACATTCATCGAATTGAACGATCATTTAGGTGAATATAACTTATTGACCCCGCTGGTTATTGATAACATATGATATTGACTTTGTATCTCTGTATATACTTCTGCTGGACACGAATTGGCTATGCTATAATTAAACATGTAATTAAACATTAAACATCCCATATTTCATTTACAAGCCACATATGATCTGCGTACAAGTTCCGCATGACTTCAAAGGGAATACGCATCGGTCAGTTAATCATACCATGACGTGATAAATAAACAATTACATATATGATCATTGGTCTTATCCATTTTCACTAACTGTTAGGCTATATAACGAAGAGTTTACTGACAGTTAGAGAAAGGAAAGAGGCAGAAGACGAGCGGGGAGCAGCAGAGGAGAGCGGAAACCGGCGTATGGACTGTCACCCAAGTTCAGTCACTGCCGTAGGGCGTTATGGTTGTCTCAATGTACCATGTTAATGTTATCGGTTATATATTCCTGTTTTAATTTATGTAGCTGTTTAATATTTTGTTCCAATGTAAATAAACCCTATATATGTACGAAACTGATCTCTGGTATCACTAAAATCTAGTGTTACAGGGCCACGGGGACTAATAGAGTATAAATTAGGCGCTGTGTAGATCCAGTAGATGCCTCGCTTCAAACCGGTGTTGGTCGAAAATGCTCATCGGGATTTTCTTGTGTTGTTTCCACTTGTCAGCCACAGAACAACCGCTAGTCGTTTGGATAGGATGACAAATCAAGGCCACAAAAACAAACCTTGATATATAATTAACAACTGGATTTCCATTAAGACTAAGCGAAACATCGTTCCATGGTCACAACTCCATTTCATTTCGTGTAATACAGAATTATACTGGATTCTTTGGTAACTTCAGTTTTGCTTGTTAGTGCTATATCAGATGGACCAGTATTAGTTGTCAGTTCCTCTACATCATCATTGATATCAATATCTTCTTCTTCAAAATTTGTCAAGTCTGTAAATAAATAATTCAGCATATCATTGTGAGCTCTAAATTGCTGTAATCCACCCAATAAAACTGAGTGATTAGGCATTATAGAAATTTTTAGCAATGAATCCCTATCAGAGAATCTATATAAAACTTGATGGTATGTAGTGGTTGATTGATATCACTCTCAATAGACCTTACATAATAAGTGACATGCAACATGATCCATTAAACATTATTAAGAAACATCCATAATTAGAAAGTCATTCACTTACATGAAACATCTATATCTTTCAACTTCTTTCCTTTAAATTTATACATATCACCAGCCTCCATAGCCAACATCATTTGGGATACCTACAATAGTTTTTTTTATTATTTTTATATTCCCAACTCCCAACTGTTGCGCCAAAGCTCACAACAAAAGATTATAAATTCATGATGCACCAAAGCACTGTATAAGCTGAGTAACATCTAAAAAACAAGATTAGTTTTTAAAATTCTACCTCATCCAAAATTTCTAGTGCCAATCTGTAACTGGGTTTGTCATCTAAGCATTCTTGTCAGAGAGTCCAAATATTTAATTTTGTACTTTTGAAAGTTATATATATGTATACAGAACACAAACAAAATAATTATTTACCTTCGAAAGCTCAATTGTACTGTTTGCCAATCGGTAAAACTCCTTATGGGTTTTTACGTCGTGACCAAGATGGGTCGCTAAAATTTCCACTTCTTTATCCGTCATATCTAAAACCTGAAAATCACAATAAACACTTAATAATTAAACTCTGTCTGAATCCAGTAAGGTATGTCAAATTGGGAATTAAAAATCTTACATTATTCACTGTTTGCAAGTACTCACGAGATCGACACTTTAATTACATCACAACTAATAATTCCACGAGGAAACTCTGATTAAAATCATCTTGTGGTAGTTAAAAACTATTTTTTGCATACCTGTGAAACAGTTGCAGCATATTTGCGGATTGCTCTTGAACTTATTCTTTCGCTGTACTTTATGCCAGGGCATGCTTCTGCTAAATCTTTTATTTCCATATATCCTGACAGTGGAGTATCGCTGTTCATTCGTGAAAAGATGTAAGGATTAGTGCTTCTCACACCTACTGCAGATCTGGAGCTGATCAGCAAATCAATTGCTCTTTTACATTCAGGCGGTATCAAAACAAAGGCATTCACATTTTTCCTGGATTTTCCAGCAGAAATTACCATATCCATTCTGAAAATAAAGCCATCAATGAGATTAATGTATACACAAAATACAATACTATGTTAGGTTGAAAAAAACATGTATTTTCATTACCGTAATTAATCAAGATCCCAAAAATTTTTGTTATAAAATTAAATTTAAGACATAAAATCTCCTCATACATTTTATTCACACACTATTTTTCCACATTAAAATGAATAGTCTTGGTACTAACTATATTTGGAGAAAAATGTAGATTCAATATGTGAATGGAGCAGCAAGCAATCAACCACATGGACAGAGAAATATTTGTCCACATTAAGGGTGTGTAATTGTATTAAAAAATATTATTTAAACAAAATACCTACCTTTTCATAAGTAATTTATCACATTCTGACAATGTTAGGTCTATTTCCCTGTTGGTATCCTCACTCCATCTTGGCCTTCCTTCATAATCTGACATTTTCAATTCAGTTACCTCTGCTGTCCTGCGTTTGTTGAATAGTATAAGCCGTGCCAGGGTCAGTTGTGCTAACCTTGTCCAGTTAGTTTGTTTGGGGGAGCTCTGTAAATTGGAAATAGCTTCCTTGATTTGATCTAGAATGTATAATCTAAGTTTCTGGAGGTCTTCTGTGAGTGGAATTATCTGTAGCTTATTTCTTTTTTCTGAATTTATTTTCTTTGTGAAAAATGAATTGACACGGCAAAGCCATTCAGATCCAAATATTTTATGGAAGTTGTTTGCTTCCTGATTTTTAGTTTCATTGTTTTCCCTAAGAGAATCTCCAATTTTAATTTGAATTGAATGACCCAACAGGTTACCAACAAGTCTACCCAATGTTAAGGCTGGTTTATCTTTCTCGGTATGCATGGCCATGGACTTGGTGCACTCAACAACAAGGTCAAAATATTCTGGTTTAAGTAATCCATCTAGTGACAACATTTCAGCAGGTCTTCGTTTCCTAGCCTCTAGGACTAATCTTCCTAAAGTCCTGCCCCCCTGGCTTACTCTATTGATATCATGGTTCTTCTGATCTTCTTTGTCTCCTAACGATTCCATCTTTAATTGTAAAAATCTTTTAATAAGTCTATCTCCGGTTACTATGCATTTCACTTCGTCATCATTCATGCGGGTGAATAATTCTTCAAGTTTATTTGTATCTTCTTGAAACAAGGCACTATTTAAAAGATGCCTGCCTCTCCTGGCGTAATTTGACAGCTCATTTTCACCAGTTTCTAAACTTTTAGAATGATACTCTTTCCAAACTAAACAGTTTCTTCTATGGTGCCATAAATTCTTGTTAAGAATGAATTTTTTGCAAAATTCACATGGAATAAAATCTTTTGGTTCATGCATATCCTCCTTTAAACTTCTTCGGGCAATGACGATATGTCCTTTCTGATTCTTTATAACTTCAACATTGTGTTTAAAATTCCCCTCATTAGCTAGTATTTCCAAGTCAGCCATACGTCTTTTAGATCGTTTAGGTAAATGTCTTATGCCTCTTACACGCACCTCATCACCATGGACTGTTAATAAATGGCGTGACATTTTGGACCGAATACCTTTTCCACAAAAGGTACAATAATTCATTTTGTCGTAGGTCCGCTGACATCCTTCCTTGATTCCTCTTCGTTTCTGAAACCCAAACGCTTTTTCAGTCAATATGGTAGATTTTCTCGTTCTGTTTAAAGAATCATTTGTATTATTGCTCCCTAAAACTGTCATTATATTGTAATCCTGGCATGGAATTTCATCTGAACAATCACTATCAGACACAACATCAGAATCATTCTCATAGTCAGGATCATTGTCGTCATCATCTAGATCAGAAGACATTATTTCAAGAGAATCACTGGTTTTTGTGGCATGGGTTTTAACATAAGCTGTTCGATCAAAAGATTTTCTGACAAGAACATCCTCACATTCAGTAAAAGATATCTGTTCTGCTATATCATCTAGACTATCTTCAGCTGGTTTTAGAACATTAGGAAGTCTTCCTTGGGAAATAAAATCCTGAGTGGTTCCTGTTTCAACTTCCTGAGTGGTTCCAGTCATAACATCCAGAGTTGTCCCAGCAATAACATCTTGAGTTGTTTGACCAAGACCATCCAGAGTGAGTCCAGCAATAACATTCCTAGAAGTTCCAGTCATCTCTTCGATTGTGGTTTCAGCTGTAAAATCTTGATTGGTTCTACTAATAACATCTTGAGCGGTTCTGCAAAGACCATCTAGAGTAGTTCCACCAATAACATCTTGAGCAATAATGCCAACATCTTGAGTAACATCCAGAGTGGTTCCTGTAGTAACGTCCTGAGTTGTGCGCATGTGCACAAATAGTTAATGCGCAACATTTAATCCTGTTACGTTCTCACGGCAAATCTAAACCGATTTAAAAATTTAAACCGATTTTAAACCACCTCCTCGATGGGGAGTAAATAAATCCATTTATTTGCTGCGATTTGCGTTCTCACTACCCAAGTTAAACCGATTTTAAGCCGCAAACGACTTAAATCGATTTAAATTTTGGTAATGAGAACGGGTTATTAGTTTGCCTATCTTTCAAGATATTGTTCCTTTTAGCTAATCCAAAATTAGGCATTGTTGTGACCATTAACCTCTAGATAGTTTCATTTAAAAAAAATAAAAAATAAATAAAACAGAAAATCCATTTAAAGATAAGTAATGTCACATTAAACTTTTAAATCTATTTTTCCATTGATTAAAATGATTCAGTCGTAATTAGACATGTAAATAATTCAAGACTAGCCTACAACCACACTTAGAATTCAGATGGTATACATTTCCCGTGGAATTGTTTTTCAATTACATTTTTAAATTAAAATATATTTGAAAAATATATTTTATTTAATCAGGACCTTGTATCAGTCACCATTATCATTCATATGTTAATAATCCTTTCTAAATGTTTGGTGAAAACTAATGGAGTTTAAAAAAAGAAACTATGCTGTAACAGTATCTGAATTCTTAGGATATTAACTGAGACTTTCTGATAATATATTATGAATAAACGGATTACGGTGGTTTCATCCCTTTTCCAGTTCATCCCCAGGTGGTTTCATCCCATTCCCATTTCATCCCCAGAGGTTTCATAACCACACACATATGTACGGTATATATCATCCCTTATATATAAAAAACGATTGGAGATATATTTATTATCTTAAACGTAACAACCTTTAACATTTAGTAGCAAATGACCATTTAATTGAAGATATATCTATTACATGGATCTGAAACTTAACAACCTTAAACATTTAGCATCAAATATTCTATTATTTGCCGGAATAGACAAAACCAGTTTTCTTTAGGAGCACTCGAGTTGTGATTTTTTTCATTATATTCCTCCCACAGATTATACAAATCTTAAGTAATTTTGTTGTAATGTGGATTAGTTCGTATCAGATGAAACCATATTCAAAGATCAAAAGATTTGGTGTAAATACTTTACATAAAAACACACTTGCATTAACATTATATTAAGGCTTATAGTAAAGTAAACATTTTACAGAACTTGATTAACACCTTTAATTAGAAGACAAACTCCCCCAATCAGATGACTGATTTACATTACGTATATTATTAGTGGGAATGAAACCACCACGGGATGAAACTTCTGGGGATGAAACCTCTAGGGACGAACTGGTAAAGGGATGAAACCTCTGCATCCCAAATAAACTACTACCACTATTATGAAAGATTTGCAAGATAATATCTCAATAATCCATGGCAACATAAGTAATAATTGATGAATTATACTTACATGTCACATTCCTCAAAAAATTTTATTTGTGCTTTTTTGACATCAGTGCTAGATCTACTCAAAAGTATTCCTGGCCACCAAACCCCCATATCCATTTTAACTAAAACTACTTTGTCCTGCTTAAAAAATAAAGATAAAATTTATGTAAATTGCATGTATTTGACTCGAAATTTTTCTGTTTAAAAAATAGATCTACTTTAGTTTTAAAAAATGGTCCTCATAGGCTATAATAGATCTATATCTATATCAATTTGACAATATGAAATATTATCTAGTACTAGTTATCAGTGATCCAAATTGGAGAAACAAATCAATGAAAATAATCATATAGTATTCTTACCATATCAGAATATTGAATGATTTAATTTTAAGCCAACTCCAACCAACAAATCAATTTTATCAAGATTGACAAGAAAGACCAAACAAAGTCGGCAATACCTGTAAAAAAATCTGGAAATCAACAATGACCGCCATCTTGATGAAAAACTATTTCCGACCATACAATCACATTTAATAGTGTGTCATAAAAAAATGGAATCAACTAGATTTGTAGAGAGCCTGCTGGCAGATGTAAAACGAAACAAAATAATTTTTCTAGTTTTAAAAAGATTGTTTTATATTCAATCAACGAACCTTTTTCCTTTCTATCAGTATCATGTATATAGCATACATGGAACGCTTCAAGGTTTCTGGGTAATGGATGTCATGTGTATTATGTAAATATGTAATTGGGTCATTCTATGCTAACTGCCTTATTTATGGAAGCCGGTTGCGGCCATCTCTTGTTCTCGCTTCCTCGCCCGTAATCAGAAGGCGAGAAAGCGAGGGAGCGAGAAAGCAGAACGCGACAACAAGAGAAAACAAAGTGAGAACGCGAGAAAATGGGGACGAGAATGCGAGGAAAAAATTCCTCGTGTTGTCGCGTTCTCGCCCCTGCTAATTTTGATAATCAAGTGCTTTTCCTTGCTTTCTCGACCTCCGTTTTCCTCGCGTTCTCTAGAACTAGTGACAATGGTGGCTGTAAAAATATTTCCAAATAATTAATTGAGCATGCCTTTGCGTTTGCGTGCATGGGAAGCGGGAAGGCGAGAAGGCGAGAAAGCGAGGAAACAAGCATTTTCAGAAAAAAAGTACAAAATACAAACACGAGAACGCGAGGAAAACGGAGGTCGAAAATGCGAGGAAAAGCATCAGGGGCTTGAACACGACAACACGAGGAAATTTTTCCTCGCATTCTCGCCCCCATTTTCTCGCATTCTCGCTCTGTTTTCTCTTGTTGTCGTATTCTCGCGTTCTCGTTCCTCGCTTTCTCGCCCTCTGAACAAAGGCGAGAACACGAGAAATTGAATGGACGCAACCGGCTTCCATACTTATTAGAGCTGCATTTTTTTAAAAAATGAAGTGTGTTGGATTTTTTTCAAACACTTCTAAAAGATTTTGTATGTATTCGGCTATAAGAAGCAGGAAGAGATAGAGCTTAACAACGATCGTTTATTATTTTTTCTTTTCATCAAAGCACTCCAAGTAGAGCTAGAAAGTCAGTTGTGTTACCGAAACATAATCAAATATAATTGATAAGGTAAAGCCTACCTGAAAAGATAATGTGTGTAAGTTTGAAAAAATAAATTACCATGTTCAACCAAATATATAATTTATGTTTAACTTTAATTATGCTGTCTAAAACTTAAATGGTGATTGACAAGAGAAGAAATACGAAAAAATTCACACCTGTAAAAATTATCTTCTGTTAAATAGAAAGTTCCACGATTCAATAAGTCGTAATAGTTGTATAACTACTTTGTTAAGTTTTAATCCTAGTGTTATCAGAATAATAGATGTTACTAGCGTGAAAACCAGAAAAAGTGATAAAACTATGTATATAAAAGTCTCGAAATCAACAATGGCCGCCATCTTGGTGAAAAACTATTTCCGACCATACAATCACGTTTAATAGTGTGTCATAAAAAAATGGAATCAACTAGATTTGTAGAGGGCCTGTTGGCAGATGTAAAACGAAACAAAATAATTTTTCTAGTTTTAAAAAGATTGTTTTATATTCAATCAACGAACCTTTTTCCTTTCTATCATACACGGCACAAAAGTTCAAGATAATTACTGGGTCATGCTGTGGTTTCTGGGTAATGGAAGTCATGTGACTTAAGAGTCAAATTTCATTGGTTAGTTAATATATAAAATATATACACAAGGATGAGAGAGAGTGGAGAAACCTGATTCAGACATGGGAGGTTGGATGGCCCCAATAATAAAAGATACCGACCCAACAATAATGTTTTACATTGTTAGCTATTTTGATTTGAATATTCATGAGGAATGGAAATAACTTGTTACATTATTGGGTCTCATCTGATATTGGGTCTTAGACCCACTATTTAAAAAATGTCCTCTTAATCAGTCAAAGACCCAACAGTTCGAGTATAAATTTGACGAAAGTCCCAGTATTCATACACTTTTAAAACTATATATATATATATATATATATATATATATAACGAATTATATATATATATATATATAATAATAATAAACTAGATCAATAATTAATGGACCGCAAATGCTTCCCATTAGAATAATAATCGATATATATATATATATATATATATATAATAATAATAATAAACTAGATCATTAATTAATGGACCGCAAATTCTTCCCATTAGAATAATAATCGACTATGTCGGGTCTATGTTGCAAAAACAACAACGTGGTTAAACTGAATAATTATGAACGTTAACCTGTGATGTATTCATCGACATGTTTGAAAACGATTCATATTTTGTTCTATAACGATTGCCGTACATTTAAAAAACCACAAATGTTTAATAATCACATTGGTAGCACTTAGCTGTGTGGGCACTGTCTTGGTACTTCTTAGAAATTTCTTTTAATCTTTGATTGGCATCGAAACATCGCTTAGTATTAAACTTATTAATTGTGCATCCATAAAATTGAACCTTGTGTGCTTAGAAATTGTTGTATAACATACCGGCCCGCTTTACAAAAAGCATGATGTATAAGTCGTTTGATTGACAGTTATGATTGCTCTTTAATGATAATCGACGAAAATACACATCAATCAGCCGGTTTATTAGTTATGTTGACTATTTAAAATTAAATTTAAATTTAAATGATTTTGATTTCGTTTTGATCGTGCTATCCATTTAAATACGCTTCATACATATCATATATAATAATGTTTCAGTATATATCATTAAAGGAACTAAGCCTCTAACTATTTTGTTTTACATAAAATAAGAAATTAAAAGCGCGAATTAAGTATTGGTACATTTCAATCAATATTGATCTTGTTATCTTATCGTGAAAATAGGGGATCCTCTTATGAAATATTTAAGACAAGACATACTGAACATTTTAAAATCAATACACTAGTCGTGAACTCTATGGTTTCAGCCGCCATTTGTAATGAACAGAGCAACCATATCCTATAAGACAAGGTAGGTGTAAACAGTAATGGCTGATTCATAAACGTCAACATAATAATAAAAAAACATGAAT